TCTTCAAAATATTCAGCAACAGCTCTAAGTTAGAAAACATCCATCTTAAATATACGAATGTGAAGATATCTGTTATTGAACTCCATCAGAACTCACAAGGGGATTAACTCCTTTTTACGAGGTTTGTTCTATGCCTTTTGGTTGCTGTACTTGAAGTACTGTTTAGCCCAGTATTTTCTCTTTTCTATTGTGTTGATTAGCTTGTAAATGGAATTTCGCAGTCTTATCTCGATCTAACCACGATGGATCCCTTTGTGCCATGTATCGTCCATGTTTTCCGCCTCGTTTATTTATTTAGTCACTACCACAATTTTATCCAAACCTTGTTTGTTCTGATTACATCGCTTCCGATTTATGTTGAAAATAGTCCGTTTTACTCTTTTTTTCGACTGGTTGCTTGTCTGTGTTCAGTCTTGGCAGTTTATCCTCTCTGTTGTGACTATTTCGGAACTGACCGTATCCTCTGGTAGCAAGTTCCTTTTGTTGTTCCATACAATAAATGGCTAGTTCGTTTTTTGTTTGTTTTTGGTAAGGACATTAGCTTCCTAACTGTTTTTGGATTTCTTATTGGGTATAATAGAGCAATTCGCAGTTTGGGAGCGTATTTTCAGGCGGCTGTCTTACCATGCGTGTTGCATGCTTTCATATTTTACAAATTGTATTTGGATATAGAAGCGTAACTTTTTTGCCTTGGTTTCGTGAGATTGTTTACAAAACCTAAAATCCTCGCACGATCTCCTCCAGAACAACCGTTTTTGTGAGACCTTGTATAAGTTCTCCTCTCGTTAAAAACTAAAGTTCAGGCTTGAAATATGTTTACTCACCCCGTGTCCGGATAGAGTTCCTTTCTTTACATAAATCATTGAACACAAAGTATAATGCAGCACAGTTGAATAGAATATGAGTAAGGTAAAAATTTACAACCAAAAGCTACCAACGAACTTTATCTGAAATTTTCAAAGGAGAACAAAACCAGGTTCCACCGTTTGTTCGGCCAGAAAATATAAGTATTCCAGTTTCATATACTTACACATTTCTGAAATGACTAAGAGTAATTTGCAGTCGCCTTCTGACGAGCACACATTCAGAGGATAATGCTATCGAGTCCAGGCGATAAAACAGAAGAGAACGCATTCTGCACAACACTGTTTATTAATGTATCGGTTGAAATACAATAACACTGTTCACCAGAATTTGTCTGCATCTGCTTGCCGGCAGATTACAGGAAGTGGCTTCACTTCTTCCACTATATCAAGACACATAAGGACAGCATTTCCACCAAGACAAACCCAGTTCTTTCCGTTTCAAGAACGGGAAGGAATTTGAGGTTCGCCTATGCATGATACTCGATGATACCATCTGCCAGTATGGCTAGTACGAACAAACCACAACCTATTGGCTGGTCTTTGAGCACCGCATTAAACCATACACATAAACAAGATAAACAAAACTACCTAAATCTCAACCAACGTGACTCTAACTCAATATCCAGATTGGAAAACTCAAATGCTTTGCGGGATATTTCTTTGGAAAATTCATTATCAGACGTACTCAGTGAACGCATATTGTGCGAAAAGGTGAAGTCGCATCACGGTGCAGTTTCCAGTCCGACAAAAGAATCATGTGAGAGCAACTAATTAACAACGATAGAGGAGATGGATACTGTTTGGGAACAACATAGACGCATTTAGAAGAAGAATACCACCAAGAAGAACACCGCTGAGGTTTTCCGATTAGCAGTGAAACATTTTTAATCCAGATGTAAGGTCTGGCGGAAATTGAAGAAACCAGAAAGCGCTCCCGAACCACCAGCAACTTCAACATTGTTCAAAGCAAATGACTTTTTGTTTTTACTTAACATAGAACATGTTGTGCTCCTCCTTTGAATCCACTCGCAATTTCATCAAATTGACGCCTGCAAAAGTTGATTTCCAGGTCTACGATATTGGTGGTGAGTATATTTATCGACACTATCAAATTAAGTGTAACGATTGCAACTAACCGAGCTTTTTTCACTGTCGTTGAGTGGAGGCCATCATAATGTACCTCCCACTATGTCAAACGGGCCATTTACGGTAACACATTAAAGTGGGTTTAAATTTGATTCTAAATTTTGCTCTTATTAGTATTTCAGTTTAAATTCTACTTCCTCGATCGCGCACAATTTACTCTCGCTTTGATTTCTTCTATTGCTACTCAGGTTCGGATACTTTTCGCAGATATTTTTTAAACGTAGAGTGTCTGAAACAGTGCAGCGAAGTTTGTCTTATTCTTGTGAGTCAACACTCCATGACGGTGTTCAAGGTAAAATGTGAAGTGGATACAGAATTCTGTATCAGATTGCACTAAGAGAGATACATGTCGTACAGGCAGGAGATGTTTACTACTTCCGGACAGTTCTGCGTTAGAATATTCCGGTACCTATAATGAGATTGCAGATGGCCCTTTAATGAAGAATACGATGTAAATTGTGTTTTTTAGGGGTTATTCTGCTCGTGGCCAGAAGTTTTCGAATATGCTCCATAACAAACAAAACGTCATCAAGATTAGACATTTATAAGAACATTTTTGCATTTATCTTAAAAACAGCCGGAAAAGTTGAATAACTTTGACAATGACATCATATTTTTGTTTTCTCAACTGAGTGTGGCTGAAAATTGACGCTTGTTATTAGAATCTTATTTGAAAAGTCGGAAATCTGCTTTTTTAAAATCTGTGACAGTTTCGCCAGGAACTTCATCAATCTTCATTGCGTATTAGTTACAAAATTCAAAATCTCGATGTTGACAGGGCTTGGGTACGAATAAGGCATACCTTAGTGTGCATTCTGGCATGTGACAAACATGTTAATGTGGCTTTCTCACAGAAGTATACCATTCGGATGTCAAAACAAACACCCAAGGGGGTTCCTTAAGGTTTTTGCCAATATTACAATCAGGACTAATTATTTCAGCATTTGCGTTTACTTACCTTTCGGTGTATAAATTTTCATGAAAGTTGTTGCCACATTAGTGCACATTTCTTCATCACTTTCCCTGAAATTTTCAGACTATTCGTTAGTTGTGTCCCCTACGATATGAAAGACTTGTGCGGCCTGTTAAACTTGATACTCAGGATACTTTAGATTACCAGGATTGTGGATGCGCCAGATATGGTTCTGGACCGTTCCTAAAATTTGGTATGCCTTGGTTTGACTGTTAACTAAATCGAAGATATGTTGGATGTGAAATAAATGGAAACGCTTTGAATCATTTCGTATTTGAAAAAACAGGGTCACTTTATCTAGACTGCGCGTCAAGCTCTTTTGTGCGAACGTGCTTTGTAAATAACATTCAAATAAAAATGTCTTTCTGAGTGCTAGAAGTTTTGACTTAAGTTGTGGAACAAAACCTTGACTGGGATTTTGCTGACCAATTCCTTAAAATAAAATCAATAGGCCCAGTTTCCTGGCTTGGCTGTGAACCCTGTCGAATTGGTTGTGAATCTTTTGAGAGTGCCCTGTATTCAAAGAACATCTACCCTACTGCAGTCCAGAAGAATTCAAATTTGTGAATTTAGTCCACTTTCTTAGGTTTTACTATGTGTGAAAGTTCTTACATAAAGTGAAATTTTATTGCAGGTATCGATAATTGGTGGTTTCCAGTTTTCCTAGGCTCGACTGAGTGTGGTCGTAAACGCCGGTTCAGAACTATGTGATTGAATGGTTTCTAGCTGGGAATTTTCCTGCATCAAAACTCGTGTATAAAAGTTGTTTGTGGTAGATTATGACTTGAGAAACTGTCTTAAATGGGTGTATTTGAACTTAGTTTAGAAAGCTTGTTTAACAGCACTATGAGATGAAGTGAACCTAATATTTCTCTTGTTGCTTATCCAAGGATTGGTGAAATACTAACCCTCATAGCTTTTTGGTTGTACAAGGAAGAAAGGCAACAAGTCGTCTCTAAGGCTTTACACAGTCTACTGCCAAACGCTAGACCCATCCTCATCACCGTGCTGTTTCTTCCTTAGGTTTGTTCCAATGATTAATTGGCGTACCGCAGCATCATTAACTCTGGCAAACATGAAACCGTTTGGCCAGACATAAGGCAAAGTGAACTGGAGGCTCCGATTAGTTTTTTCTCTATGCGTAGAGTAATTACACGTCAAAGTTGCAGGTCTGTCTTCGAGAACGAATCGTTTGTCCTGACTTTAGTGAAAAGTATACAGTCCACTCACGTAAATTTGTTTGTTCTTGTGAAGCCTAAAAATCTTCAGTCTCCTGACGGGTGATTTTTTATTCCAATCTGAGTTGATGCATTCGTAAAACAACCGGATGCTAGGATTTGCTAGATTGATCCATTTTTTATTTTCAGTCATTCCTTAATTTCCCAATAATCTAGTGTTTTAACTTAATGGAGCCAAAACGCGAACCTAAATATTCGTGAGTTTTTGAAATGCACACGTGTGTCATGAGGAAATTATAGAAACTCGCCTAGACCTCTGCGAACATAGAATCGGAGAGGTGTGCCAATATTGCATAGTAAGGTGGCAAGTAACGTGTGTTACACACGTTGAACCAGCGGTTGTACAGAAAAGCGCACATTTAAAAATTCCGTGGCAGTATTGCAAACACGATTCAATTTGAAAATGCGGGTGTAAATAAGTCTGAACTCCCCTTCTAGGGCGGGGTGCGCGTACCCTGTGTGTTAAATACTAGTGCCTGGGAAAGTGTCCTCCAACTTCTCTAGGCATGGTCCATGGTCACTCATTCTTTTACGAAGTCGTTTACTCCATAATTCATGCTTGCTTGGCTTGAGTGTTTTTTTCATAAGATGTTAAGGGGCCACTGCTCAAATTTGCTTTTTTTCTGCCTGCGATTATGATGATAAAGATGGACCGACAACCATCATTAGAGTAATGCCATCTTTATTTGGAAATTTCCTGAATTAAAATTCAGGATTTAAATTTACAATAGTAAATACAAAGTTGTCTAACAATATACACCATTGGCTTCCTTTCAGGCACCAGCGAATGTTGATTATGGTGACTTGCATTCAGTCAAACGGTGGATCGATTTCAAGAAGCGTGCTTGGTCGGATTTCAAAAGGAATGCAGCTTTTGGATACCCGGAGGACAGACCAGAATACGAATAACGGAGCCAGTTCCTGAAACGCTGATTTCTCCTGCTTTTTTGCTCTTACCGTGTAAAATGTGCTAAACATGGGCAACTGAAATAAACATTTGCTCGAATTTTCGGACGGAAGGGATCTTTGAGATTGAACAGTATAAGTGTATCTAAAAAAAATCCAGTCGTCTTAAATCATTAGAACCAGCTAACTATGGAGAATCAGGCATTTTTCTGTAACGTCTTGATAACGCCTTCCGTCGAGGGTGGATATGTCGCGTGAAACTTATTCAAGCCGCTTTCGTTCATTATTATTTCGCACGGTTTTTTAGGATAACCATAAAGATGGTGACGAAATAAACAATGGTGGGTAGATTTAACTCTGGATACAAAAGAAACAATGGCTTTGCGCGCCTGCCAAGGGGCTGATAAACAGAACCTCAGCTAAGCATAACGCACGTCTATCAGAGTAATAAAAAACAGAGCCGATAGGCCAAATGGTTCCTTTATTGCTGACAGATTTTGAGTGGACTACATGTGACAGGCAATGCTGGATGTGAAATTCATAATAGCTGTTTTGATGATTCGCTTCTAAAGCTCCGTTAGGACAGATGTATTCAAGCAACTACGCTCGTAACTGCCACACTCACTCCAACGTAGACAAAACTTCAAAGGGGTAAGCACAATGGATATGAGACGAGCACAATCGATCTTCGAAAGTGTGCACTGAATCGCAGTATATGGCAAAAACCGAAGTCTCAATGGAAGTGCAGCATATTTCTTTCATGATATTTATGATACTTTGAATTACCCACGGTTGTTTAGCTCAACTTGAAGAAGACACCCTGTTATGGGACATTTTGCACTTAGCATTGAGTCTCAGCTTTGGTTGTTCCCGTGGTTTGTCGATATCTGTACTAGCCAGTCTAGTCAACATTCACTTGCATCACACTAGTCAAGTTTTTATGTACCTAGTGGGCATCTGGAGATCGGAAGCTTTCCCACCATGATACATTCTTCCTTACATTTCTTGCGTGCAAATCCACAATACTGAATAGTGCGCTGTTCGTATGGGCATTCAGTATTGTGCAATCCAGTCCGTACAAATGCAGTGTTACTAGGGACGGGAGGTTTTTCGTCATCCGTTTACAAACTACAGCGTACCTTCCAATGACACTTATTAAGGTGCTAGAGGAGCTATACCTTCTGCATATCATGGTAATAATTTAAGCCATACATTGCCGATAGAAGATGTCAGTAAAGTCTTCAGGACCCAGATTCATTTCAGGCAGCCGCAAAAAATGAATGTTTCAAATTGGTCCAAGGCTAAGGTCACTACTACATATGTGCAAGTTGGTTTTGAGAATATTCGGATCGTGGCTGTGGAATGTGCGATATGGTTGTAACTTCCAGTGAAATACTGACACATCACGGTCCAGTATCTGATGGCGCTGATGGTGATGATAATTACCTCGCGTGCTACTTACGTGAGCAATCAACCCGTGCTGTTGCCCTAAGATGAATGGATAAAGCCTTCTATATACCCTATTTCAAGCTTATACTTATCCACATGTTGCTGTTGTTAAAGGAGATTGAAGAGCAAAATGAACATGCATGGAAAAAAACTTTCGGAAATGAAAAATGGTCGCCAAACGCCGAGTACTCTCGAAGAGATCGTGCGTCGGAATCCGTGAACTGAACTTATCGTGATGATTGTTTTTCTATATCTTATTTCTAGGAATTTATCTTTCGCGTCAAAGATTGTCACTGAAACATTTTCTTTGGGATCTTCGAATCAAACGGCAAAAGGGGCTCCTGTCCTGCTGCGAAAACCCATAGCTTGTTTATTTCGGGTAACTTACATAGTGCTGCTTTTCGGATTTTATGCACACGAACATAGCACAAGTATGACATTCGATTTTGAGCTAGGCATCTGCAGTTCTCTAAGGATTTCTACTTTCAATGACACAGGAGAGAACTTGTTTAATTTCTGACCTCAAGAGATGGAAGAATATGTTCAGATGGCAGTATGGGACGCAAATCGCACCCTATACGGACGATAGAGAAAATTGCTCACCATAGTCGAGTTTGCTCATGCAGTCTGGAAGACAAAATATTTAGTGATATTCCCTTCTGTATTTTGATTTATTATTCGCGAAAAATTACAAATACAACAACAAAAGGGTGCAGTTATAGACGTAACCGATTGAACATTTCGGGAACTTGGCATATGACTCCAGGTAGTCAATGTGGCCTGACAGCTGTGCCAAAATTGTATGTACTAGACTGAAAATAATCCGATTCAAATACAACTTCACTAAAATCGGTATAAGAATGCCCATTAATCTGTTTCATCTGCTCTCACCAGGGATTGAGTTTGGAGGCCCTTATAGCCAGCTCCCTCATTCGATGCCGTCCCCCGATAGAGGGCAGTGCAATCTCTAGTTGCTTGGTTGAGAAATAAGACCAGTTTAGCGGGTTACTGTTAACTACAGCCTAGGGTGAAATTCCGGGGCTTTGGCGCGATTTGAGAACTGTGCGCAACCGGAAACAAAACGCGTTTGCCAGATATTACTTCACTTTTTACTTGTGGGCCAATTCCTGAGACGATAAATCAGTATACGGACGATAGAGAAAATTGCTCACCATAGTCGAGTTTGCTCATGCAGTCTGGAAGACAAAATATTTAGTGATATTCCCTTCTGTATTTTGATTTATTATTCGCGAAAAATTACAAATACAACAACAAAAGGGTGCAGTTATAGACGTAACCGATTGAACATTTCGGGAACTTGGCATATGACTCCAGGTAGTCAATGTGGCCTGACAGCTGTGCCAAAATTGTATGTACTAGACCGAAAATAATCTGATTCAAATACAACCTCACTAAAATCGCTATAAGAATGTTCATTAGTCTGTTTGATCTGCTTTCACCAGGGATTGAGTTTGGAGGCCATTATGGCCAGCTCCCTCATTTGATACCGTCCCCCGATAGTGGACAGTGCAATGGCAAGTTGCTTGGTTGAGAAATAAGACCAGTTTAGCGGGTTACTGCTAACTACAGTCTAGGTGGAAATTCCGGGACTTTGGCGCGATTTGAGAATTGTGCGCAACCGGAAACAAAACTCTTTTGCCGGATATTACTTCACTTTTTACCTGTGGGCCAATTCCTGAGACGATAAATCAGCTGAGATCCAATGAGACCAATGAGCTAGACAAACAACTTTTCTTCAACAGTGAATTATGTATTCACGAAAAAGATATTGACGCGCGGTCTCAACTTGGCCTACATTCTTGGCCAGGTATTCGTGCTGGAAGGAAATCAACCACATTCTATCTTGGGAAGAAGCACCATCTATAAGCCACTAAAGAATTCAATGAAGCCCACTAGGATACTGAGTTTTATGTAGAGCCAAAGAGTCAGAACTATGTTAGTAACCTAGTCGTTTATGTGGGTGAAACTTTTTCACGACACACCTCAGAGGACAATACAGAAAGAACAGTCCAGGAATGAAAAATGCGTAAATTCTTTAGTGTCTATTTATTTAAACCAAAAAAGGATACTATTCAGTATCTTTCGGATCAAGCAGTTAGAATTTTCTCGCAAGATATATCCATCAAAAAGAAAACACAGCTTGCTTTTTGAAGAAAACCGTTTCAACCGAGGATAACCCGGCTTACATCTGTTGGAGTGGAAGCGTTATCACGTGTCCCACAATTGGTCATCTGCACTACTCGTTCACAGCCGATTTAGGGCTAATTTCCCAACGTTAGCTATCCTGGACAGGTAATAAAAAGCGGAGTGTACGCTCTCTAAAACCAGCTTTTAGGTACACTTGTTCAAATGCCCATGCTGAGCACCATAAAAGACGATTGTCAACAAGAAGACGGTCTGATACTATCCGTTCATGTAGATATCCACTGTTAATCCGTGGGATTAAAATGCCCTAGCTTGGTTTATTTTCTATGGATGTGATTGTCTTGAGCCACCCCATAGTACTTTAGGAGCATATTGGGTGGTACAGACTCTTCCTCTATTGACCCAATCTCCAACACAATACGGTAACTGAAGGAACTCAGTACAGGATAATTCTCAAACTCAGTCAGATTTACTTAAGGGTAACTCCGACAAAATGAAATGAGCCTTATGTTTACCGATTCGCATTTTATTTTTTAATCAAACCTACCAGGGAAATACATCCAAGAACTGTTTCAATGTTGTCTGATGCGGCAATTTACGGAATGAGGGTTTGGGCTCTTTTTCAATCGACTCATTTTTGACTTGCCAATCTCAGTCATTTTGCCTGCCCACACAGCCAGAAAATTTTGTTGGCCCACTTTTATGTTGGTCTGTTGAGATGAGTAGAAAGTTCACACGAATCAACTGAAGACTCAAAATCAGCTGAGTAAATCTGTGTGATAGTGCCGCAATATTATTTTTTTCTTAAGAAGCCAGCCATCTGGGAGCATTCTGTCACACAAAAGTTGTAGCTTTTCTTACCGTATCCAGTCTATTATGCTGTTGGACGTTACGTCTTTTTTCGACTTAAGATTATCCGTCGCGCTGTTATCAAGTGTAGGTTCGAAACTGTCCTCCGGTCCATATATATAAGATACGTCCAGCTGACAATCATAAAAAAATCATTTTTGTTATCGTAACCATGAACTAGCAGTCACAAAACTACTGAAGCAGCAGACAAGGCAGATCCAGCAACGGAACATAGTAACTCAGGAGATTCACAAAGTGAACAAAAAGACTTGCGGCACACAGAGCATCCGAAATCTGCTTGCGCATCTCACAATATAAGAATCCTGAACCGATACTGAGAGAGTCACTTCTTCCAGTTACCGAAGCGATGTTGGATTCAACAGGACGGTATTACCAGCTAACGCATAAACAGCAGCTGTTTTTGGTAGGACAGCACCGGCAGCTGCTCATCAGACAGGACGATATGTCACAGAGTAATTGGCAGTTAATTGTGGGATTTCCGTGCTCTAGGGCCAAGCACATTGGTCCAATCCCACCCTCGTTGCCTATGTCGTAACTGACAGTGGGCCGCTGAGCCATCTGACCGGCTGACGGATAAGAACACCACGGAAGCCCAGGAAGTTGGTATAAGCGACTGTGGCCGTGT